AGCAAATTGGATGCTTACCTTGCTGGGATCCTATGATCCCAGCTGACTTCCTGCCCTTTGGGCGGGGGGCTGGATTCAATCTTCTGAGGTCCCTTCCAGCCCTAATGTCTATGAAATCTATGAACTGCTATGAGGCACATCAGAGACAGATCCATTTGTCATCCACACTGGGCTCAAGCAAGGATGTATCCTCGCTCCATCTCTGTTCTCCAGTTTTCTGACAGTCATCTTGGTTTTTAAGGACTGCCTTCTTTCTAGAATTAACACCAAGTCCTGAATGGATGGAGAGCTCTTCAATCCGAGTTGTTTTTGCTTGGAGGACGAAAGTACTTGAAACAACCATTCTTGACCTTAAATATGCCAGTGACTGAGTCGCCCTTGTGTGCACTGAAGAAAACTTCCAGACCCCGCTGCATCTTTTTGTAGAAACCTACCTCTGAGGGCCTCTCTCTCAACATTGAGAAGACTTAAGTGCTTCATCAGCCTGCTCCAGACCATAAATATGACCCCTGCCCCCTACTCCCCAAATTATCATTGGGGGAAAGACCATGGAGGTAGTTGAGAACTTCTGCTACCTCAGTAGCCACCTGTCTTAGAAAGTGAACATTAATGAGGAGATCCAACACAAGGTCCAGTGTGCAAGTGCCTCCTTTAGAAAAATGCTACAATGTGCCCTTACTCGTGATCTCTGGAGAAACACCAAGATCCAGGTCTATAAAGCAGTCATCATCCCTGCTGTCTTCTACAATTGTAAAACATGGGCAACTTAAATGTTATCTCAAGAGCTGGCAGAGGTATTACCAATGATGCCTCTGGAAAACGCTCCACATCAAATGGGAAGATCACTGCCCAAATGCCAGCATCCTTGCTGAAACCAGTGTTACCTGCATTGAGTCTGTGATCCTCAAGCACCAACTTTGCTGGACTGCACATTGTGTGTGGATGCCTGCCTCAACTCCCAAAACAAGTGCTCTACTCTCAGCTTAGTACAGGCATACCTCGGAGATATTGCGGGTTTGGTTCCAGACCACCGCAATAAAGCAAATATCGCAATAAAGCGAGTCACACGAATTTTTTGGTTTCCCAATGCATATAAAAGTTATGTTTACACTATACTGTAGTCTATTAAGTGTGTAATAGCATTATGTCTAAAAAAACAATGTACATACCTTAATTAAAAAATACTTTATTTCTAAAAAATGCTAACCATCATCTGAGCCTTCAGCGAGTCGTAATCTTTTTGCTGGTGGAGGGTCT